TAAAATTTCTTCATTTTCCTTGTTTAGAATCAGAGGTGCTAGTTTCAAATACTTTTTAGTCTTGAATCTGTATGCTAGATATTGAATAAGGTGGTTTTATTGTTTTTTGTCACTTTGAATAATATTTCTGTTCATGTTAAAAACAAAATCAACTCTCTGTATAAATATATCAGGTGACCGTTAAGGCCCATGGGCCTCTTGTTTTTTTTATGTATACAGGTCCAGTTGTTACACTTGCCAGCAGATCTCTTCAGGTGAACAGCAGGTATATGTTTGAAGTGACTGTGAGTGCGACAGGAAGGCCCGATGGGAAAGCCCAGCATAGCATTATCGTCAGAAACGATGTCCAACCAACAGTGGAAATCGTGTAATTTCCGACATTTAAGTATATCTAGATTTCACACCTAGACCTGTCTTTATTAATCCCCCTGTTAACATATCTCCCTCTCAAGTATACTTACTGGTATATCCGGAAACTAATACTTCATACAAATATAAGTGTCCTTAACACTAATCATTGTGTAGATTTCAGTGTCCTTTATACAACTTGTCCATGCATATTAATTGTGAGAAATGGTGTTTTGCTTTATTAATATGTATTTGTGTGTTTTACAGTTGTTTAAGTAACTGTGGGGATAAGCTGGTGCCTGGAGTTAGCTGGGTAGTGGCATTGAATCAGACGCAGGACCCAAAATACATACACTCATGGTCAGATATGAAGATCGAATGGAAAATGTATAGGTTCAAAATTGTTTATAGGCATATCTTTTTCTTTTATCATACTCACCAGCTCACATTGGACGACAGCCTGATACACATCTTCGACTCTATATACAGCTTTCACGTGAAGTGTAAGAATTTATCTTTCCTAGTTAAATGTTTCATTGTAACATGAATAAGATTGAACACTTTATTTCCAGTAAGTCATTGAATCTTTGTATATCACAGAACATCACAACTACAATCCAGGTGTATTTTACAATATTGTATATGTATAAACTGGAGGCCTTTCACAGGGTTTATGATGATCAGATAGAAACAGATCATACCATCAGAAAGAAAAAGGTAATACGATCAGAAAGAAAAATGGTCATACCATCAGAAAGTAACAGATCATACCACATCAGGAAGTAACAGATCATACCATCAGGAAGTAACAGATCATACCATCAGGAAATAACGGATCATACCATCAGGAAGTAACAGATCATACCATCAGGAAGTAACAGATCATACCATCAGGAGGTAACAGATCATACCATCAGGAGGTAACAGATCATACCATCAGGAAGTAAAAGATCATACCATCAAAAAGTAACAGATCATACCATCAGAAAGTAGCAGATCATACCATCAGGAAGTAACAGATCATACCATCAGGAAGTAACGGATCATACCATCAGGAAATAACAGATGTTGTAAACAAAGAGCCTACCTACCCAGTTGTAACAAGCAATTAAAAGACCCCCCCCCCCGTAATGTCAGCAGATTAATCAGACAGATCACTTAGAAAATACAACTACAGATTAAGAAACAAACCTACATAAAATGCAGTCATTACTAGCTATACCGACAGTATGTTATGAACACAGTACATCAGACTTAAGGAAAGCAAAGCAAATTTTCAAAAACATAATGGATTAGGTGTTTTATATTAACAAACAAGCACAATGAATCTGTTAATGCATGTTTGCATTTTTGTGAATTATTTCAATTTCCTTTACAGATACGATAGACGTTGCAAACAACGTTTCCTTTTCTGGATCTGCCTCGCTCTTAAACATTTTCGCCAATGATATACCAGTAGCTGGTTCATGTGACTGTAGTCCAACCCGTGGGTTCTCTAGTCTGACCAAGTTTTCCATTAGCTGTGCTGGTTTTCACGACAATGATTTACCTTTGAATTTTAGGATAATCATAAACGATACAGGTAAGTTGATAATTGAATTTCCAAAAGACCAAGGTGAGCTTGCAATGGCATCTATCTGTCAATAGATTCTTCAAACCACTTCACCCTCTGAACCATTGAATAGTTATTTCACCAAATTTGACTGGGAGAGCTCCTTAGTAGAGATTCAAATGTGCAAATGGTTGACAACCTTGGAGGCTGAGGGGTCAAAAAGGGGTAATTTGGCCATTATTTGCTTTTCAAATTTTCCCCGGCAACAATAGGACATGGCTATTAATCATGTTGGCTGGAAAGAATCCTAGGTTGTGGGAATCCCAAATTATAGAAATGGATTGGCCTCTTGGATTTTGTCCCTCTCATCATAAGTTTGAAATGGTTATTTAGATCAGCATCCCCACCCCATAATCATATAATAAATACAATTTCTTGGCATGAATTGACCCCAGAGTCTGGCCTTCCTCTAGAGACTAAATCTTTGGCTCATGTTTTTGGAACTCTTAAGATCCCCAACCATATTTTATTTCTGACAGGTATACACCATATTTTATTTCTGTCAGAGTGATACACCATATTTTATTTCTGTCAGAGTGGTACACCATATATTTTTCTGTCGGAGTGATACACCATATTTTTTTCTGTCAGAATGATATACGGTATTTAATTTCAGTCAGTGATACATGGTATTTAATTTCTGTCAATGATACAAGATGTTTAATTTCTGTCGGAGGTATACACCGCATTCAATTTCTGTCGGAGTAAGACAAGGTTTATAATTTCTGTCGGAGGTATAAATTGTATTTAATTTATGTCTGTGTAATACATGTTTTTAGCTCACCTGGCCCGATAACAAGTGTGAGATTAATACCAGGTGAGCGATGCAGGCCCATTGGGCCTCTTGTTTTTAGCTCACCTGCCCGAAGGGCATAATGGAAGGCCGTCTGTCCGGCGTCAACTTTTTACTTTAAACAACTTCTTTTCAGTAACCAAAAGGCCTAGGATGATGATATTTGGCCAGTAGCATCCTGGAATCAAGAGCTACCAAGTTTGTTCAAATGTAGGACCTTCATCTATTTTCAAGGTCACAGGGGTCAAATATGTTAAATACCTTTCAACAACTCTTCTCAATAACCAAAAGGCCTTGGATGATGATATTTTGCTAGTAACATGCTGGGATAGTAACATGCTGGGATGGAGTGCTACCAAGTTTGTTCAAACAAATTACCGTCACCCATTTTCAAGGTCACAGGGGTCAAATATGTTTAAAACCTTTGAACAACTTCTGAATACCCAAGAGGCATATGATAATGATAATTGGCCAGTAACATGCTGGAATGAAGGGCTACTAATTTTGTTCAAACAAATGACCTTCATCTATTTTCAAGGTCACAGGGGTCAAATATGTTTAAAACCTTTAAAACAACTTCTTCTCAATAAACAAACGGCTTTGGATGATGATATTTGGCCAGGAGCATGCTAGGATGAAGGGCAACCAAGTTTGATCAAACAAATGACCTTCATCAATTTTGAAAATCACAGGGGTCAAATATGTTTAAAACCTTTAACCAACTTCTTCTGAATACCCAAAAGGCATAGGGTAATGATATTTGGCCAGTAACATACTGGGATGAAGGGCTACCAAGTTTGTTCAAATGTAGGACCTTCATCCATTTTCAAGGTCACAGGGGTCAAATATGTTAAAATCTTTGAACAACTTCTTCTGAATACCCAAGAGGCAAAGGATAATGATATTTGGCCAGTAACATGCTGGGATGAAGTGTTACCAAATTTGTTCAAACGAATGACCTTCTATTTTCAAGGTCACAGGGGTCAAATATGTTGAATACCTTTCAACAACTTCTCAATAACCAAAAGGCTTTGGATGATGATATTTGGCCAGTAACATGCTGGGATGAAGTGCTACCAAGTTTTTCAAACAAACAACCTTCACTTATATTCAAGCCACAGGGGTCAAATATGTTTAAAACCTTCAAACGACTTCTTCTGAATTACCAAGAGGCCTAGGTTTATGACATTTTGCCAGTTAGATGCTGGGATGAAGGGCTACCATATATGTTTAAATGAATGAACTTCGCTTATATTCAAGGTCACAGGGGTCAAATATGTTAAAATCTTTGAACGACTTTTGACGACTTTTGAAAAACAAAGAGGCATAGATTGATGATATTTGGCAAGCAACATGCTGGGATGAAGGGCTACCTAGTTTGTTCAAACAAATGACCTTCACCCATTTTCAAGGTCACAGGGGTCAAATATGTTTAAAACCTTTAAAACTTACTTCTTCCGAATAACCAAGAGGCTGAGGGTTATAATATTTAGCCTGTAGCATGTTGGGATGAAGCGCTACCAAGTTTGTTAAAATGAATGATCTTGACAATTGTTTAAAACCTTTAAACAACATCTTTTTAATAACCAAAAGTCCTAGGATGATGCTGTTTTGCCAGTAGCATGCTATGATGAAGGACTATCGAGTTTGTTCAAACGAATGACCTTGACATATATTAAAGGTCACAGGGTTCAAATATGTTTAAAACCTTAAACATTTTTTTTTCAATAACCAAAAGGCCTAGGATGATGATATTTGGCCGGTATCATGCTGGGATGAAGGCTACCAAGTTTGTTCAAATGAATGACCTTCATCTATTTTCAAGGTCACGGGGGTCAAGTATGTTTTAAACCTTTAAACATTTTTTTTCTCAATAACCAAAAGGCCTAGGATGATGATATTTGGCCAGTTAAATGCTGGGATGAACTTCGATCACATTCAAGGTCACAGGGTTCAAATATGTTTTAATCTTTGAACGACTTCTTTTGAATAACAAAGAGGCATATATTGATGATATTTGGCAAGTAACATGCTGGGATGAAGGGCTACCAAGTTTGTTCACACAAACGACCTTCAAGTATATTCAAGATCACAGGGGTCAAATATGATTAAAACCTTTAAACAACTTCTTCTGAATTACCAAGAGGCCTAAGGTTATGATATTTTGCGAGTGAGATGCTGGGATGAAGGGCTACCAAGTTTGTTCAAATGAATGACCTTTGCTCATATTCATAGGGATCAAACATGTTTAAATCTTTAAATGACTTGTTCTGAATATTCAAAAGGTCAAGGGTAATGATATTTAGCCAGAAATATGCTGGGATGGAAGGCTTTAAATTCTGTTCAACTTAATGGCCTTGTTCGACTTTCAAGGTCACAGGCGTCATATGTTTAAATCATTTAATAGATTCAAATGAATCGAACAAATATAATTTGCCTGTAGCTGTATACGAGTCCACTTTTAAGATTACAAGTGTGAGATTAATACCAGGTGAACGATTCAGGCCCATTGGGCCTCTTGTATTTTATTTCACTATGTGTCGCTCTGACAAATAAACATGTTTTATGATATACCACAGTGACCAATACATTGACATTGTATTTCAGTTGTAGGGGAAGGAGGCACAGCTAATTTCTCCGATGTTGTGTTACCTGGCGGACTCAGCCATGACGATTACAATACTAACATTACCATAGAAGTCACTGACAAATATAATGGCACTTCCTCGTATAATTTCCTTGTACTGGTATGTAGATAACAATTAAATTTACCTCAATATGGTTAAGTATGTGACTGTAAGAGCCTGTATAGAGTGCATGCTTGAGCAAACTTAATATCAAAGGATAATGTGTAGGCACCTGTAATACATCTCTAGGAGAAATATAAAGTTTGTTCAAGAGTGCGCTCTATGGAAGCTAAGAGAAAAACTAGGCGAAAATCTGTCAAAATTGACTGCAAATATTAACTGGTTAGCATGGCAGCCATAATGGAAAACACAAACAAATGTTTACATAATAGTACTGGGTATGTATTTAAAATTAAAGAAACAGTCATTTGAAAGTTCTATTGAAGATTTTTGATTTTGATGGATTTGGGGGCCAAAAAAGGTCAAAACTATATATAGTCTTTTGTACGAAAATTACAGTGGAGTTCTGTAGTGATTTTCCTGTGATGGGCCACTGACAGGATCCTAAAAAAACAGATGAAACTTAACACAATTATTCCGGACATCTGTCACTTAATTAAATTAAATCATAATTACATTCAAAGTCAAAATCACAGCTACAGCTAATATTAACATGGTCATCGAAAAATGTTCAACCAGATCTAACAAAATACCTCCTAAACCAAGTAAACTGATTTCTGAATGCCACACATTATGTAAGAGTACAATTCTGCAAAGTTCTTCCTTTTATGGAGAGATGTGTCGTTTATTAAAAAAATGTCTTTGCTTTCAGGGAGGGTAGATATTATATAACATACAGAGAGGCATATTTAATTTAACCTTGGTTACAGTTCCTTGTTGTCATCCATAGAGTCCCTCTTAACTTCAAACATTCATTGTGACAGGTGTACCCGTCTGTAACAGAGTACATAGACACCATCAACCAGCCTCCGGTCAGTACCTCTGGATGTGTGGTCAGTCCTCTAAGTGGATATACACTGATTACCAACTACACCGTGATCTGTAGTCCGTTTACAGATCTGGACCCTCCGTTGACATACTACCTCTATCACAAAGGCCAGACTTCAGACACAGGTTGATAATTAACATGCTACTAATTTACCATAACGGTCCTACAGTATCACATGTCAGCTCTCTTTGTCAGGCACCGGCCAGGTGAAACTCTGGTCAGTCATCAAAATGTTATTTACCTGTTCTGTCATACCTTGAAACTAAATTTAACCCATTGTTGACTAGTCTAACGGTCATTGTAATGCTGTGTAACCACGCATCGTAAAATCAAACATAATACTAATTAATTTGTTGAGAAATGTATATATACAGTGTTCCTTATTCCATAAGAGGGTTCCAGATTTGTTTCGTTTCGTAATATTGATCAACCAATTATACCAAATCGTACAGTTGTGCGCACCATGTGTGCATGATGTATGCAGGACGTGCGCACACTATTTTTGGTGCATTGTGCGGTCACACAAATGTACTTATTAGGGCTTTTCACATTTTGTTTCACCTGAGACAAAGTCTCAAGTGATCTATTGCTATCGCCTTTTGTCCGGTGTCGTGCGGCCGTAAACAATTTACATTTTCGACTTCTCCAAAACCCCTGAACCAATTTCAATAAAATTTTGCAGAAACCTTCCATGGCCAAAGGTCAACCAAAATTGTGAATTATATATGGTCCCCAGCCCCCAAGGGCCTGAGGGGCGGGGCCAAAAAGGGTCAAATTGACTGAAATTTCAAAAATCTTCTTCTCAAGACCCAGATATGGTAGAATCAAATACTCTTCATAGATAGAAGGGTCTTAGGGTGCTTTACCAAAATTATGAATTTCATGAACCTGGGGTCTCACGTTTCCCCCTGGGGAGGGGGTAAACTTAACTATAGTTTATATAGGGAAATCACATTTTAGACTAACATTTGTTAATTTCCATTGGAAGTAATTCAATTTAGGTTAGCATTATCAGTATTGGATAGCAGTTTGATGGTATGTACATATGAGCCCTGACTGAATGGTTTAAAATGGAAAATGATATTTTGAACATTACATGTTAGTAACTTTTTTGGAATTATAACCCTGAGTTGACAGTTTGATACTTTGAAAATTTTGAGCCAGCCCTACCCCAAGCGCTATAGGGTAGGGCCCCAAGGAGTCAGTGTGCTAAAATTTCTTCATTTTCCTTGTTTAGAATCAGAGGTGCTAGTTTAAAATACTTTACAGTCTTAAATCTGTATGCTAGATATTGAATAAGGTGGTTTTACAAGCTCACCTTCTCGAAGGGCAAGTGAGCTTATGTCGTGGTGCGGCGTCCGTCCGTCCGTCCGTCCTCATCCGTCAACTTTTCCTTTAAACAACTTCTTCTGAAGAACGGACAGGCCTAGAGTCATGATATTGGGCTGAAAGCTTCATTGGTATGGGCCCTACAAAGTTTGAGATCGAAATTGACCTTGACCTTCTTTAAAGGTCACAGGGGTCAAATATGTCAAAAACTTCAAACGACTTCTTCTTAAGAACTAAAAGGTATAGAATCTTATTATTTGGCTGATGGCTTCCTGGGATAGAGCCCGACAAAGTTTAAGGAAGAAAATGACCTTGACCTTCTTTCAAGGTCACAGGGGTCAAATGTGTCAGACACTTCAAACGACTTCTTCTGAAGAACTAAAAGGTATAGAATCTTCATATTTGGCTGATGGCTTCCTGGGATGGAGCCCAACAAAGTTTGAAAATGAAAATTACCTTGACCTACTTTTAAGGTCACATGAGGCAGATATGTCAAACACTTCAAATGACTTCTTCTGAAGAACTGGAAGTTATAGAACCTTAATATTCGGCTGGTTATTTCCTGGGAAAGAACCCAACAAAGTTTGCAAATGAAAATGACCTTGACTTACTTTCAAGGTCACAGGGGTCAACAACATTCTAATGGATTTGTTCTTATGAACTAAAAGGAATGGATTCATAAGATTTGGCTGGTAGCTTTTGGAATAGAGCTTACCAATTTGAGAAGGAAAATGACATTGACCTACTTACAGGGTCACAGGGAAAAATATGTCGAGCAACTTCTGAAGAATCAAAAAGCATAGAATCTTGTAATAATATTTTGCTAGTTGTTTCAACAGATGGAGCCAACAAAGATTGCGCGGGAAATATTTTCAGTGCAGCATAATATTTAATGAGAATATTTTGCTATGACTGCTTACATATTCAGGTGAGCGATACAGGCCCTCTTGGGTCTCTTGTTGTTTTTTGTCACTTTGAATGATATTTTTGTTCATGTTAAAAACAAAATCAACTCTCTGTATAAATTTATCAGGTGACCGTTAAGGCCCATGGGTCTCTTGTTATGTATTTTGCATCCATTGAACCTACCAGTTCCCTCTAGTGCTGTCTGCGAAACAGCACCAACAAACTTTAACTAAAAAACTCAAGATGGCTGCTTATTGGCCATCTTTGTTTTCCGGTCAGTCAGAAAAGCTGATATGCATAGCAGGGGACCAATAGCAACCATCTGATGATGGTAGAACAAAATAAAAGTGTAATATAATAAAAATGTGACATCCCTATAGCATAATCATTCAGTTAATCAGGCTCAATCGGGATCAATCCTGAAAAGTTTTCATGAAAAAGTAATTTTTTCCCCAGCAATTACAGTTTCGGGATAAATCTTGATAATTTTTCTGGTAAATGCATTTTTGGGACTGCATAAATTTCTCATTATGTGCATCAGAATTCTTGCCAATATGCATGGGTGTTTTGCTGAAAAAAGGAATGCCATCAATTTTTCCTCTTAAGGAATTTTCTAGGGTTATATGGATAGACTTTTTTTAGCCCACCATCATCTCGTCAGATGATGGTGGGCTATTCAAATCACCCTACGTCTGTGGTCCGTCGTCCGTCCTTAAACAATTCTTGTTATCGTAATTTCTCAAGAAGTACCAAATGGATCTTTCTCAAATTTTATATGTAGGTTCCCCTTGGTTCTTAGCTGTGCAGGGCAACTTTTGAGACTGCATGATCAAATAAACAACATGGCAGCCAGGCAGCTATCTTGGAATTTGATAGTGAAAGTTTGTTATCGCTATTTCTTGGGAAGTACCAGAGGGATCTTTCTCAAATTTTATACATAGGTTCCCTTGTTGTGCAGCAGTGCCTGAAATGGACGGTCGCCTGCTCGCCAATGGCAGTTTAAGTCTTGCTCACGCGACCAAAAGTTGTCAAAAGTGAGGTAGTCATTGGCCCAACAAAAATAGTTTGGGCGACTGTCAAAAAATTAATGAATAAAAGAAATTTAGTCCCTTCCACATTAACACTGGGGGGGGGGGGGGGGGCAGTACATTTTTCAGTTGTCATTACTTCGATTTGAATCGAACTGTCCGTGATTTAGAAAATGTGATGATTTTTTTTTCAGATTTTCTATATAAATACTGCCAGGGTGTCTTCTTTGAGGTGCGAGTTTTGTGTATTTCTTTTTGGGAAGACCTGAATGGAGTGAATTATGTCAGGTTTTAACTGGGATTGAAGAATTCAAAATATGATGTTTTATTCTGTTTTACATATTACAAACATTGTCATGTTATATGTAATTTAAATGTGCTGTAGCATTGTGTTAAATGCTGTGGAAATATTTCTTCCCAAAATTATTTGGGCCACCAATGTCATTTGGGCCAGTGCTTCAAATTTTTTACTAGCCCAAAAGAAATATTTTGGGCCAGCCAATGCAGGCTCCCCACTATCCTTTATTGTTCATGTTTACTTTTGAAACTAATCAGTTAAACAAAATGGCCTATTGACAGCCATCTTTGATTTTTGACATTGAGGGTTTGTTAGTACTATTTCTCAGGAATAACTTGAGGGATCTTTCTCAAATTTGATATGTAGGTTCCCCTTGATCCCTCGTTGTGCATGTTATATTTTGAGACTAATCATAAAAACAAAATGGCTAAAGGAAGAACTAAACAGATCTTTCTCATATTGCAATGATCGATTCTATTTCTTTCACATTAAGTACTGTACTAGTAAATATGTGAAATGACAAACTCACTTTGAAGGTTGGTTTTCATACACATCAGTATTAAGTTTAGATCAAAAGTTACCTCAAGGTGCATTTACTGTTAACATGACTTGATCAAACAGATTAGAGGGAAGAAGAGAAAAGATCGAACTGACAAAGAACTAATGAAGATGGTACAATGGTGGGCGCCAAGATCCCTCTGGGATCTCTTGTTTTTCATGGCAGCAGCATTTTTAGGTCACCTGAGCTTTAGCACAAGTGTCCTATTGCTATCTGTCTTTGTCTGTCGTCGTCCGTTAACATTTTAAATTTTCAACTTAAGCTGAAATACTGGCGAAGGTATTTCATTGATATTTCATGGGAATGCCAGACAGAGTGTTGTTATTTTTCGGGTCGATCAGAAATCCAATATGGCCGCCACTTTGAAAAACTATTTCAAACTTAAAGTTCTGCTGGGCCGATTTAACTGAAACTTGGTAGGAATGATAAACTCATGGTACTGACAAAGTGATGTTATTTTTTGTGTCGATCAGAAATCCAATATGGCCGTGTGTGTCACGGCCGCCATTTTGAAAAGTATTTCAATATTAATTAAAAAGTCAAGTTCTGCTGGGCCGATTGAACTGAAATTTTGTAGGAATGATCGACTCATGGTCCTGACAAGATGTTGTTTTTATTTGGGTTAATCAGAAATCCAATATGGCTGTCACAGTAGCCATTTTGAAAAATTATTTCAAACTTAAAGTGAAGTTCTACAGGGCCGATTTAACTGAAACTTGGTAGGAATGATTGACTCATGGTCCTGACAAAGTGTTGTTATTTTTTTGGGTCGATCAAAATTCTAAAATGGCAGCCATTATGAAAAACTATTTCAAACTTAAAGTCAAGTTCTACTGAGCCGATTTAACTGAAATTTTGTAGGAATGATCGACTCATGGTCCTGACAAAATGTTGTTTTTATTTGGGTTGATCAGAAATCCAATATGGCTGTCACAGTAGCCATTTTGAAAAATTATTTCAAACTTAAAGTGAAGTTCTACAGGGCCGATTTAACTGAAACTTGGTAGGAATGATTAGCTCATGGTCCTGACAAACTTAAATTGGAGTTATACTTAACTATTCTTTACTCAAATTGGTACATATTTCAACAACAAAAATAAATACTGTAGGACTCAGGTGACCGTTAAGGCCCATGGGCCTCTTGTTGAACATAGCAAAAGTTTAGCTTTAGAATACTGGAAACATATGAATAAAGAGATCAGGCCTGTATGAATCCCTCTCCTCTTTCAGTATGTTTTTTTTTGTTTGTGTGGAGCATCCCTGGGCCTAGGGGATCACTGTACAATAGAAACAATGGTATGACCTTCATTGGAGCAGACATTTGGGAACTTAAAGAAAAACGACGGTTAAGCTTTAAATTGGCTATTCTCTTTCTGCACTGGTAAAAAGATTTAATTAAAGTTGGTCTGGAGCATACTTGGGCTAATGTTGAACATTGTATACACAATTAAAAGGCCATGTTTAGATGTTAGGTACTATTTTTTGTCACATCACAACATATAACAGTTGATGACTATTATAGGCCTATGGGCCACAAGTTAAAATCCTAATACTCCAATACCAATAAAGGGATTTTAACAAATTTAGTGTCAACAGTGTTTAACATAGGGGACTCGGGCATTGTATAAATGAAAAATGTTGCTATGGGTATCCCCACCCTTTAATGATAGATACCATTGCTGGGCATGAGGGGACATATACATCCATGCTGCCTTCTTGGAAGCTGCCCTTAGGTATGGTGACCAGGTCCTTGGGTTTCCCCACCCTTTAATGATAGATACCATTGCTGGACATGAGGGGACATATACATCCATCCGACCTTCTTGGAATCTGACCTTAGGTATGGTGACCAGGTCCTTGGGTTTCCCCACCCTTTAATGATAGATACCATTGCTGGACATGAGGGGACATATACATCCATGCTACCGTCTTGGAATCTGACCTTGGGTACGGTGACCAGGTCACTGGGTATCCCCACCCTTTAATGATAGATACCATTGTTGGGCATGAGGGGACATATACATCCATGCTACCTTCTTGGAATCTGACCTTGGGTATGTTGACCAGGTCACTGGGTATCCCCACCCTTTAATGAAGGAAATACACTCATGTTACTGTGATTGCCCTTGTGACCTTGCAGAGCCCTGGGGAGTTTGTCCTTTTTGACGGATTTGGAATTACCTGCTGAGTGAAGACCACTAAAGCACTCCAAAATGTTGCAATAACTATACAATGTTTTTACATGTTTTTCAGAGTCTCTTTTGTATAAAGGAAATGATACCAAAACAACTGCTCTTTATCTTGGTGAGGGCCTGGGAGAGAACCATACTGTTTCTCTAGTGTTTAGGGCTAAGGACGCTTACAATGCAGCTACAGACATAGACCTTTCTTGGGAAGGCAGAATCTCTTACACTAAAATCGGGTCTTGTGCCCCACTTTATATAGAATTATGGCCCTTTGTTTATTTTTAATACCTAAGTTTGTCCACAGTATAAGTTCCATGTTATTAGTCCCCCACTGTGAGCTGGGGGGGGACTATAGTTTTGCGTCATGGTTGTCCGAACTTCTGCTATCTTGTCCAGGCTCTATCTTCTACACTACTTGTCACTGGAACTTCATACCTGGTGTATAGGTTCACCTTAGTGAGGCGGTGTGTCATGTATCAAAGTAGGTGACTCTGTTTTTATCCCCCACTTTCACCGAAATGGGGGATATATTAATATGTCTGTCTGTCGCGCTTCGTTTCCGTGCAATAACTTAAACAATTTTCTTCAAACTTGGTCACAGGGTTGAATGCCTTAAGGGCTCGTCCAAGTTTGATGACCACTTTCAGCAGACCCCATTTGGAGGAGTTATGGCCCTTTGAATAATGAAAAAACGTCATTAGCTGCCGTGTTTCGATACCGTTCAATAACTACAACAAATATTAACCCATCTTCTTCAAACTTGGTCAAAAGGGTAAATGCCTTAGGGCTCGGCCAAGTTAGATGACTGGTATCATGGGACCCCATTTAGCGGAGTTATATGGCCCCTTGAATAATGAAAAACGTCATTATCTGACACGCTTCATTTCTATGCAATAACTACAACAAATGTTAATCGATTTTCTTCAAACTTGGTCACAGGGTTAAATGCCTTAAGTGCACGGCCAAGTTCGATGACCAATAGCGGACCCCGTTTGGCGGAGTTATGGCCTCTTGAATAATGGAAAATGTCATTATCTGCCGTTTCTGTTCATTAACTCAGGCAAATATTATCCGATTGTCTTCAAGCTGAGTAACAGAGTCAATGCATTAAGTGCTCGGCCAAGTTTGACAACCACCCTTATTGGACTTTATTTGGCAGAGTTATGGACTTACGGATTAACGAAAAAAGTTAATTTCTAAGCCGCTCTTTGCGAGAGCCGAGCGTCTTATTAATTCTGTCCAGAGAACGAAATGACTGACCAACTTTCGTTCAGGGTGCGTGCGCATAATTCAGTCTTGCATGCTTCCGCTATATAGTTTCGTTATCGTAAACAGAAAAGTAGAATCTCTGATACTCACCTGTGGATAACATAACGTCTTCTGATGCTCTTCTCCAAATAATAATCCATACTTTAAATAATTGCTGAAAACAAAATGTTTATCTCCAGTGCATTCTACGAGTGTTGTGGTGGTTAAATTCGTGCACTGGGTTTGAGCGTTTTAGCAACTCTGATTGAGGTCTGAGGAGTGTTACGCGTGTGAAACACATATGATTCGAGAAAGCACATGTGAAGACTGTCAAGCATTGACGCTGTCTGCAGAATTAAAAAATATATATATATATATACTTATAAACCGTATGAGTGATGAAGTATAACCTTTATTTTGATGTTTCAAACGGGAACCTAATATGACACATCGTGTTTACTGTAAAAACCCATGGAATTTGCGCACTTTTTTTTCTGAAATTTAATACCCAAAGTTGGGGGTGCGTAAAATACACAGGTATGGAAAATTTCAAGTTTTTTTCAGGAAAAGATCGACGATTCTGGGAGATTGCCATCTTGGATTATCTCCCTTGGTACACGGAACTCTAAGACAAATGACGGTCAACAAATTTATTTATGTCAAACATTAATAAAAGATACATAATGTCAGTTTATGTGAAAAGTATTATTAAATAGGTAACCGTTAACAAAGAAAGTTTAGCCAAATTCCTATGCCAGAGAATTGCCAATCAACTTACGACATTACGTTTCGACATCTCGGTGCGTTTCCCCATACTATTGGGAAAATATATTTGTTCAATTTCAGCTCCGTTCCATGTAAGTTCTGTAAGTTTTTTTCCCAAATCGCCTATGCGTATACGTATAGCATTGGTTTTTTTCCGGCTCACTTTTATGTTGATCTCGCGTCTAACATTATGTAAACATGTGATTGATAAAAACCTCGTGAATTATTTCAATATTTATTAAATGAAGCATCGTAAAAATAGTCTGCTTTAACTATTTTTTTCCTTGGAGTAGATTTGAAGAGGATGTATTGATTGTCCAAACTTCTAGTATAAACATATTTTTTATAATCCCTTACAGTCAAATCAGTCTGTAGTTACATGTATGACAATGCAGTAGGGCTTCGTAATTCACGCCACGTGTTGGTGAGTGAAAAAAACAACAACACGGTCTGTCGATCGCGACTGCCAATCATTTCAATAAGTAAAGCTATTTTTAACGGGTAATCACAGATATAGTGTTAGCTAATTACTGCATTGTAATTTGTATTGACTGTAGTGTTGAGAAGTGTCAATAATTTACGCTGAAGCATGTGATCCTACCTGGCCTATTGTCCGGGACCAGACGATATCGGTGAAATCATGCCCTCCGGTTTACTTGCCTGTAAATGTCGCAAAACCAGCAGTCATGACCACAGATGACCGATTTTAATAATTTCACAGTATGTAAAAATTGTTTGAAAAAGGTAATGGCTCTGAGACGAGACGATATGTGAACCGTGTCTGCTTATCAAACATTTCTGTAACACAGCATGCTTTTTCTGGTGTATTTATTTATGAAAATGTAACAATTTAAGAACATGACACAACTGCTGCTGCTGTTTGACAAGAATTTGCGCCGTGTCAAAATATTATCCAATCCGGTGTAAGGGAAATAACTCTTACGTTGGTAAAGTCGCATTGAGAACATTTTTGAGATTTTGTATAATCAATGACAGTAAATAAAGTCAATACATATATTAATAATTATTATTAATATGAAGAAAAAATAAATAAAAATAAAATACAATGTCTCTTTTCTCCATGCATGTTTTCCCACTACAATAATGTACTATTAATTATCCTTCGTTTCACAAGCACAAAATGCACCTATTCTTTATTATCCATTCACCGATTGCCATTCTGCACGTAAATGCTCATGTCGCATCATTGGAGGATGCTTATGAATGAAAATTACAACAATGCATCGCACTTAAAGAGGGTGAAAAAAGAGGAGAAGGAGAATGTTTTTAAGGCATCATTTAAGAGGTGATTGATTTTGGAACATCATCACATGACCTGATTTTCAATTAGCAGAATACAGAACACATATCTGAGGTATTATAGTAGATATTGGTGCTCAACGTGTTACTGAAGCAATTAAATTTAGAGTGGTGAGCGGCTTTAACGTCACAGTCTGACATAGTTCTAGTTTATACTGAAGTTTGTCTATTGGCCAATAGGGGGAGACATGTTTTTGTTCACAAAAACAAGTTTCTAGTTAATGGTTTGAAATACTGAAGCATTTCATTAATAACACATGGTCTGTCATCAATCCATCTGAGCATTTGTCAACCATCAACAATTTCTTTAAACAACTTCTTTTACTGATTGCAAGTTATCGAGATTTGACTGCAAGCATCCCTATAGCTAGTTGGGATTCAAAATTGTACAAATAATAAGGTTGACCCTTTCAGGAGGCTGTGTACATTTGTTTATCACCACATTCAAAACTCTCTGAAACTAAATCTTAAGGTGATAGTAATATCTACCGATTCTTATCTGGTCTAAAACTTCCAATAGGTTGCAGATATATTGAACTCTGTAGATTGCAGGTATTTTGAATTTTCTCTGTTGCAGGTATTCTAATCTAAATGAAATTTCGGTATTGCTGTCAGAGTTGATAAGTCATTTGCTTGACCCACAAATGTAGAAAATGAGTTATTGTGAGTTTAATATTAAAATTATAATGAAATAAAAAAAGAATGTTTTTTTTTAGTATTACTTTAATTTTAATTTGTACAGGTACTACCTTACAACAACTCAGATACTGGTGAAGACATCCTTGATTTTGTGCAGAGCACTTTTCTATCAGGAGAAACAGGTATTCTAGATCTGCAGGGTGATAGTCACCTTGTTAGCTCACCTGCCCGAAGGGCAAGTGAGCTTATGTTATGGTGCGGCGTCCGTCCGTCCGTCCGGCGTCCGTCTGTCCAGCGTCAACTTTTTGCTTAAAACAACTTCTTTTCGATAACCAAAAGGCCTAGGAAGATGATATTTGGCCAGTAGCATGCTAGGATCAAGAGCTACCAATTTTGTTCAAATAAATGACCTTGACCCACTTTCAAGGTCACAGGGGTCAAATATTGTAAAATATTCAAACAACTTCTTCTCAATAACCAAAAGGCCCAGGGTACTGATATTGGGCCTGTAGCATGCTGGGATGAAGGGCTACCAAATTTGTTCAAATGAATGACCTTGACCTACTTTCAAGGTCACTGGTGTCAGATGTCTTTAAAATATTCAAACAACTTCTTCTCAATAACCAAATGGTCAAGGGTACTGATATTGGGCCTGTAGCATGCTGGGATGAAGGGCTACCAAGTTTGTTCAAATAAATGACCTTGACCAACTTTCAAAGGTCAAAGGGGTCAAATGTCATAAAATCTTCAAACAACTTCTTCTCAATAACCAAAAGGCCCAGGGTACTGATATTGGGCCTGTAGCATGCTGGAATGAAGGGCTATCAAGTTTGTTCAACTGAATGACCTTGACCAACTTTCAAGGGCACAGAGGTCAAATGTCGTAAAATCTTCAAGCGACTTATTTTCAATAAGCAAAAGGGCCAGGGTACTGAAATTGGGACTGAAGCATGCTGGGATGAAGGACTACCATGTTAGTTCAAATGAATGACCTTGATCCATTTTCAACCTAATGTCCTTGTTCGACAATCAAGGTCAGAGGCGTCATATGTTTAAATCTTTTAATAGGTTCTTATGAAATCTTAAGATTACAAGTGTTAGATTAATAACAGGTGACCAACGCAGGCCCATTGGGCCTCTTGTTTATTGGGAAGTTATTATTTAGGGGTGATTGTTGACATGTTGAACGGTCATCCTACACTGGGGGTGATTGTTGACATGTTGAACAGTCAGCCTACATTGTGGGGTGATTGTTGTTCTGTTGAACAGTCATCCTACCTTGTGGGGTAATTGTTGTTCTGTTGAACAGTTATCCTACACTGGGGGTGATTGTTCTGTTGAACAGTTATCCTACATTGTGGGGTGATTGTTGTTTTGTTGAACAGTCATCCTACATTGTGGGGTGATTGTTGATAGGTTGGTCGTCATTGTTGGGTGAATGTTGATAGGTTGGTTGTCATTATTGGGTAATTGTTGATAGGTTGGTGGTCATTGTTTGGTGATTGTTGATAGGTTGGTCGTCATTATTGGGTGATTGTTGATAGGTTGGTGGTCATTGTTGGGTGATTGTTGATAGGTTGGTTGTCATTGTTTGGTGATTGTTTATAGGTTGGTCGTCATTGTTGCGTGATTGTTGAGAGGTTGGTTGTCATTGTTGGGTGATTGTTGATAGGTTGGTTGTCATTATTGGGTGATTGTTGATAGGTTGGTAGTCATCGTGGGTGATTGTTGATAGGTTGGTCGTCATTGTTGGGTGAATGTTGATAGGTTGGTTGTCATTATTGGGTGAATGTTGATAGGTTGGTTGTCATTGTTTGGTGATTGTTTATAGGTTGGTCGTCATTGTTGGGTGATTAGTTGTCATTGTTGGGTGATTGTTGATAGGTTGGTTGTCATTGTTGGGTGTTTGTTGATAGGTTGGTTGTCATTGTTGGGTGATGGTTGATAGGTTGGTTGTCATTGTTGGGTGATGGTTGATAGGTTGGTTGTCATTGTTGGGTGATTAGTTGTCATTGTTGGGTGAATGTTGATAGGTTGGTTGTCATTTTTGGGTGATTGTTGATAGGTTGGTTGTCATTGTTTGGTGATTGTTGATAGGTTGGTCGTCATTATTGGGTGATTGTTGATAGGTTGGTAGTCATCGTGGGGGATTGTTGATAGGCTGGTCGTCATTGTTGGGTGAATGTTGATAGGTTGGTTGTCATTATTTGGTGAATGTTGATAGGTTGGTTGTCATTGTTGGGTGATTAGTTGTCATTGTTGGATGATTGTTGGCCAATACCTAAATGGTAAATTATGATGGCATGCATCAGGGTCGGAACCAGAAGGGGTCAAATAGGCTAAAATGTCAACAATCTTCTTCATACCTAGCCACCTAGAATCAAATACAGTTGTACTTTTCATGGATGAAATGAAGTTTCTAAGATACTTTATCAAGTTTGTGACCTTCATTAACCATGGATGACCCATTCTCCCAGGGTAGGTGTAAAGTTTACAATGGTTTAAACTGAGTGATGCTTTGATACATAAAATGTAATGCTTTCGATATCCTGTATTATAAGCATGTTATAAAGTTTAGATATTGACCCATTTTAAAATGGATTTGCATTGACTTCAGGTGTGCAATATAGGTCCAATTTGCCTCCTGTTTAGACATGTAACCCACCTTTGTTCTAGCTGATACATCAGGGCTGACAATAGAGACCATTGGAACCCTTGGAAATGCCATCAACGTAGATACAACTGTCAACAACACTAGTGATGCAGATAGACTACAGCAAAGGAGCGAGGTATTGTTAGGGTATTGCTGGGTGAATTATACTGTGGGATTTGGTAGAAATTTGTGGGCCTATTTTACCGATTGGTTAACTGTCTGGCCTTCAAATGTGATGGTAGACTACAGCAAAGGACCACAGTACTGTTAGGGTATTGCTGGGTGGATTATACTGTGGGATTTGGTAGATATTTGATGGCCTATTTTATCGAGTGGCTATAACTGGTTGGCCTTCCATGGTGAGGGTTGAGGTGAGATTCTGTAGTCATCATGACATAGAATTTACAAAGAGGTTGATTCCTCTCTCCAGTCACTGTAGTCCAAATTATTCCGATTATCGATTTTTTTTATACCAACCCATGTTTTTTATGGAAATTAGGGCATGAGCAATGTCACATGACTTGACGAGATCTCGCGTTACCGAAGGTATTTCCCAACGTTATCATATAGGTCTTCAAGATTTTAGTCACGTGGCATTAGAAGATGGGGCTATCTAAAAACGTAAAGTAAAACAGAGTAAGTTTGAAAAAAATATGTTTTTAGTTATTGTATTGGTTTTTTGAGGCATGTAATTTATGTTCATCTTGTGCATAAAGAACAGATATTTCGATCCATGTGCGACATGTATGTGAAAGTGACGATTTGTTTCTAAAATATCAGTTTGAAGAGCGACCCAGGCACGGGTCGCTTATTTCACGCATACAATAGAGGGCCAGAGTTCTGACGTTAATCGACGACAGACTGATATAAAAAAAAAGTCGATAAAATGTCAGAATAATTCGAACTACAGTAACTGGAGAGAGGAATCAACCTCTTTGTAAATTCTATGTCATGATGACTACAGGATCTCACCTCAACCCTGGGTTCCTGTGTTTACTGACAGGGGTGAGCCATCCAGTCACTTGTTACTGACTCGATCAGCTAGATCACAGTGTTGAACCATCTGGTCACTTGTTACTTACTCAGCTAGGGTAGGTCACAGTGGTGAACCATCTGGTAATTTGTAACTAGAGATATATCACACTGTGTTTGGACAGGCATGTGGTAATAACATTCAAGTTAGGTAGCACTATGAAAGTCAGATGTCACTGAAAGTACATCTCCAACACAAGCATGTGAAGATATTAGCCAGTTCTTGATAAGAACCTCTGGTTATATTGTCAGATGGAATTGATTGTAGGATTTGTAAATCTATGTGACGTACCTTGGCTTTTTGTAGTAAGATAGGTTACTATATCAAATTTTGTATGTTATAATGCTGTAAGATAGATTTGGTTGATGACAGAGGTATTGTCAGGGAACATCATTTCTGTTACCTCCCCATTTTTATGAAGTTATGCCCTTTCGTTTAAAATGTTCTGGAAAGAACTATTTCTATAGTTCTTGGTGCAGGCAGGGGTTTATATGTGTGCCATTCTGACGACACTTAAGTTTAATCCTGTACAATAACTGATTTCAATGCAATCTTAACCTATCATGCATATGTATCAAATCCAATTTTTATTTAAGCATTTCCTTTGACAGATACGTGAGTCGTTGACCCAGTCCCTACTTCATGCCGAAATCACACCAAACTTTGATGTGGTCAACCAGGTTGTCCAAGTACTGGACAGTCTAGTCAAGGTCAAGGAGGAGGTCACAGAGAAACAGGAGGTACAGGATTGATTGTTATGTACTTCAATGTAACAGATATATTTCACAAAAATGTTCAGTTAAGTTACAAAGGTGAACAATCTGGTCACTTACTACTGTCTCAGCTAGAGGAACTGACAGAGGTGAACCATCTAGTCACTTGTTACAGACTCAGCTAGGGATACTGACAGAGGTGAACCATCTAGTCACTTGTTACTGACTCATCTAGAGGTATGTTAGATAGGTGAACCATCTAGTCACTTGTTACTGACTCAGCTAGAGTTATGTCACAGTGGTGAACCATCTAGTCACTTGTTACAGACTCAGCTAGAGGTATGTCACAGTGGTGAACCATTAAGTCACTTGTTACTGACTCATCTACAGGTATATGTTACAGAGGTGAACCATCTAGTCACTTGTTACTGACTCATCTAGAGGTATGTTAGATAGGTGAACCATCTAGTCACTTGTTACAGACTCAGCTAGAGTTATGTCACAGTGGGGAACCATTAAGTCACTTGTTACTGACTCATCTAGAGTTATGTCACAGTGGTGAACCATTAAGTCCCCTGTTACAGCCTCAGCTAGAGTTATGTCACAGTGGTGAACAATTAAGTCACTTGTTACTGACTCAGTTAGAGGTAGGTCACAGTGGTGAACCATTAAGTCGCCTGTTACAGTCTCAGCTAGTTATGTCACAGAGGTGAACCATTAAGTCACTTGTTACAGAATCAGCTAGAGTTATGTAAAGTGGTGAACCATGAAGTCACCTGTTACAGTCTCAGTTAGAGTTAGGTCACAGTGGTGAGCCATTAAGTCACCTGTTACAGTCTCAGCTGGTTATGTCACAGTGGTGAACCATTAAGTCCCCTGTTACAGCCTCAGCTAGAGTTATGTCACAGTGGTGAACCATCTAGTCACTTGTTACTGACTCAGCTAGAGTTAGGTCACGGTGGTGAACCATTAAGTCACCTGTTACAGCCTCAGCTAGAGTTATGTCACAGTGGTGAACCGTGAAGTCACCTGTTACAGTCTCAGTTAGAGTTAGGTCACAGTGGTGAGCCATTAAGTCACCTGTTACAGTCTCAGCTGGTTATGTCACAGTGGTGAACCATTAAGTCCCCTGTTACAGTCTCAGCTAGTTATGTCACAGAGGTGAACCATTAAGTCACTTGTTACAGAATCAGCTAGAGTTATGTAAAGTGGTGAACCATTAAGTCACCTGTTACATTCTCAGCTAGAGTTATGTCACAGTGTTGAACCATTAAGTCACTTGTTACTGACTCAGCTAGAGTTATGTCACAATGGTGAACCATCTAGTCACTTGTTACAGTCTCAGCTAGAGGTATGTCACAGTGGTGAACCATTAAGTCACTTGTTACTGACTCAGTTAGAGTTAGGACACAGTGGTGAACCATTAAGTCACCTGTTACCGTCTCAGCTAGTTATGTCACAGTGGTGAAACATTAAGTCACCTGTTACAGTCTCAGCTAGCTATGTCACAGTGGTGAACCATTAAGTCACGTGTTACGGTCTCAGCTAGAGTTATGTCACAGTGGTGAACCGTGAAGTCACCTGTTACAGTCTCAGTTAGAGTTAGGTCACAGTGGTAAACCATTAAGTCACCTGTTACAGTCTCAGCTAGAGTTAAGTCACAGTGGTGAACCATTAAGTCACCTGCTACAGTCTCAGCTAGTTATGTCACAGTGGGGAACCATTAAGTCACTTGTTACTGACTCATCTACAGGTATATGCTAAAGAGGTGAACCATCTAGTCACTTGTTACTGAATCATCTAGAGGTATGTTAGATAGGTGAACCATCTAGTCACTTGTTACTGACTCAGCTAGTGTTAGGTCACAGTGGTGAACCATTAAGTCACGTGTTTCAGTCTCAGCTAGAGTTATGTCACAGTGGTGAACCATCTAGTCACTTGTTACAGACTCAGCTAGAGTTATGCCACAGTGGTGAACCATTAAGTCACTTGTTACAGACTCAGCTAGAGTTATGCCACAGTGGTGAACCATTAAGTCACTTGTTACATTCTCAGCTAGAGTTATGTCACAGTGTTGAACCATTAAGTCACTTGTTACTGACTCATCTACAGGTATATGCTAAAGAGGTGAACCATCTAGTCACTTGTTACTGAATCATCTAGAGGTATGTTAGATAGGTGAACCATCTAGTCACTTGTTACTGAATCATCTAGAGGTATGTTAGATAGGTGAACCATCTAGTCACTTGTTACTGAATCATCTAGAGGTATGTTAGATAGGTGAACCATCTAGTCACTTGTTACTGAATCATCTAGAGGTATGTTAGATAGGTGAACCATCTAGTCACTTGTTACTGAATCATCTAGAGGTATGTTAGATAGGTGAACCATCTAGTCACTTGTTACATACTCAGCTAGAGTTATGTCACAGTGGTGAACAATTAAGTCACTTGTTACTGACTCAGTTAGAGTTAGGACACAGTGGTGAACCATTAAGTCACCTGTTACCGTCTCAGCTAGAGTTAGGTCACAGTGGTGAACCATTAAGTTACCTGTTACAGTCTCAGCTAGTTATGTCACAGTGGGGAACCATTAAGTCACTTGTTACTGACTCAGCTAGAGTTATGTCACAGTGGTGAACCATCTAGTCACTTGTTACTGACTCAGCTAGTGTTAGGTCACAGTGGTGAACCATTAAGTCACCTGCTACAGTCTCAGCTAGTTATGTCACAGTGGGGAACCATTAAGTCACTTGTTACTGACTCAGTTAGAGTTAGGTCACCGTGGTGAACCATTAAGTCCCCTGTTACAGTCTCAGCTAGAGTTATGTCACAATGGTGAACCATCAATTCACCTGTTACAGTCTCAGCAAGAGGCTAGAGTGATGATACTTTGCATGTAACCTAATGGAATAACTATCTATGGAGTAATTCAAAGGATGACATTGACCTACTTTAAAAGTTACAAATTTGTTTAATCCAGAGTAAGGAACTGCTAATGATCAGTTGGTTTAGGGTCATGATATTTAATGCAGTATGTTTGGATGAAGGAAAAGCAAGTCTGTTGAAATGCATGATTTTGACCATCTTAAACTTTCAAGTTCACATTTGCCCATTGTGTTAAAATCTGTAAGTGGCTTCTTCTGAATAGCAAAGTGGCATAGGGTCAGTCAATATATTTGGAATGATGGACTTTCTTGTTTGTTCAAATATATGTGGCCTTATCCATCCAACCTTGAATGTCACAGGATCAAATAAAATCAGTTAAAATCTTCCCCAGAAGATCAATAAAGAAGTCGAGTGAATAATATTTAGCCTGTAATGTTACATCTACATGACAAGTTTGTTTAAATATGTTTGACCTCGACTCAATTTCAATGTGACATATATGTGTTTGCATTGAATAAGAGGATAACCAAAACTGGTTGTTAATTACCATCCAATGCGTGACAATCTTTCTGCATTGGCGTTATCTCGGCCACCACGATGATACTCGATGGTATAATGAAACTGCTGGAGAGCAATAGCCCACCTCAGAAGTCTCTGCATTGTTGTTTTGTTCTGTCCAGCCGTTTCAACTGGTTGTGGTCAGTTCGAATGGTGAACTTTACCCTACTTACATGACAGGCAAACGATTCAACACTCCACACGATGGCAGAATAGTTCTGTTCTCGTGGTAATAACTTCCTACTGATGTAAGCATTCGGGTGTTCCTCGCTGTTAATAACCTGACCAGCTCCAATGGCTATACATTGCTGGCATCAGTCTGTATTGTTTCATGGCTATTTGGGGAACAGTCAAAACTATCATCCCGAGGTAGGGGGAAGCCCTGGGGAATTGTTTGCCCGAGGCGGTTAGACCAAGGGCAAACAGTTCCACAGGGCTTCCCCCTACCGAGGGATGATTGTTTTGACAGTTCCCCAAATAGCATTGAGACAGATTTTTTATTACCAAATAAATATAAGTATCAATGCTGAATGCAATGATGCCAATTTGCTTCAACACTGAATCGTGGTCACCGATACGCTTGAATGGGGCTCTCGAAGGGGGATTTCTGCACATCGAATTCGCGCCGGGTAACAGCTCGCTCTGACCGGGAAAACAGTTTTGACTGTTTCACCCCTTCAGCCGAAATTTGACAAAAGGCAAGAAACAGTCAAAAATTACTAATTATAATTTATAAAGAGTATTGGGTAATAATCTGTATTGTGAACGGTATTGTGATGGTGGGCTATTCAAATCACCCTGCGTCCACTGTCCGTCCGTCGTCCGTCCTTAGATAATTCTTGTTATCGCTATTTCTTATGAAGTACTAGAGGGATCTTTCTCAAATTTTATATGTCCTAAGCTGTGCAGGTCAACTTTTGAGACTGATCATTTAAACAACATGGCAGACAGGCAGCCATCTTGGATTTTGATAGTGAAAGTTTGTTATCCTATTTCTCAAGAAGTACCAGAGGGATCTTTCTCAAATTTTATACGTAGGTTCCCCTTGGTCCTAAGCTGTGCAGGTCAACTTTTGAGACTGATCAGTTAAACAACATGGTAGACAGGCAGCCATCTTGGATTTTGATAGTGAAAGTTTGTTATCGCTATTTCTCGGGAAGTACCAGAGGGATCTTTCTCAAATTTTATATGTAGGTTCCCCTTGATCTCTCGTTGTGCATGTTATATTTTGAGACTGACCATAAAAACAAAATCCACCATAGCTAGACAGTACAGCTCCTCCTAACCAAATGGACACTTTGAGGGTTTAACTGAATGTGCGGTGTGTGAACGATGTGTGCACGATGTGCGAACAATAAAAAGTTGGACGATCATTGCTTTCGCAAATTTGTGTGCACGATGGACGAACGTGCGATAACAATCGTGGTTGGTGTAAATTGAGGAATGCCTTAACAATATATACGGTTTCGTGTTTAATCATATAAACTTGATTTCTACGTATATTTCTATATTCTACCTACATATGTAAGCTTATCTTTATGTCGATACTTTCTTACAATTAGAAATTGTGTTTTCGGTATTTTTTAAACGACCTTAATCGACACATGTAAGGTGAAGGGGAACTATAGGCAAACCGAATGCAAATAACAAATACTAAACATCCAGTTGTGTTTTCATTACAGTCATACGGTATCGCATATCAGCTCTATGTGTCAGGTAAAGGCCAGGTAAAACTCCGGTCACTCATCAAATTGTTATTTACCTGTTCTGTTGCCGAGGAGCCAAACTCATTCTTGACAGTCTAACGGTCACTGTATACTGTGTAACACACATTGTAAAATGTACATAATCTAAATTATAGTGATGAGAGAATTACATTAATATATACCCATCACACACAGTCACGCTGTTGAGCTTTCTATAATCCACACAGAGCCGTGTCGTGGTATCTTTCTTGTCCACCATTATGATTGGAGATGAGTAAGGGCTTGATGATGGTGTGATGTAACATCGCTCCAACATATCATCCATCATTGTTTTCACTTCCTGTTTCTTAGCCTCTGGAATTCTATAAGGCTGCTCTCTGATAGGTTTCTCACATGTTGTTCTTAGGCTGTGTGTAATAATAAAGTCCTACCAGGGTTAAGATTGATGATGTCATTGTAGTCCTCACAAAGCTGACGTACCTCCTGGCGTTGTGATTTGTCCAAAGTCTTAAGGAGGCTCCACCCTTTCGCAATTAGCCATCAGAATTCAATGAAAGTTTCACATGATGGTTATGTCACTATGTAGAGATGTTTTTATGAAAATCTAAGCATTCCGATAAACTGGGGATTTATTTGTAAAAAATACCGAAAAATTGATTTTTTTTGTCAAATTCAACACTTTCACATTTTTTGAGCGTGTGGCATTGTTCAAAACTATAACAACCATAAAATAATGAAAAAAAACATTGCTGATCAACCCTACAAATATTTTATTTATCATAAAATATCTATAACATGTTACAAAAAGCGTTTTTTATTGAAACTATATGGATAAAAGTTACTAAATACAAGCCAAAATCAAACAGGACACATAGTTACATACAAAAAGAGTGAAAAATTGAACCAAATACACACAAAGTCTTTATAATTAATTTATTTTACATTTTACAATTATTTTGATCCTGATGAGAGTTGTCTACCTTGAAAATAATCGGAACTTTTTGCAGAGGGATAGAATTTATACAATGACACTTATTTTATTTAATATACCAAAAACGACGGAAATAAATTAAATTACTATATTTATTTGTCAATTTACTGTTCTTTTATGGAACAAAATTACTCTCAATCATGTACACTTTGGACATCATTCCATAGCTTAGCCTGCTTACGCATGGTATATTCACATGTCAGGTACATATGTAACCATAGGCTATCGCATGGTATGCCGTTATTACGTGCACGCACATGCACTTGCATTTTATAAGGATCTTGATATTTTACAAACCACTATTTTCACAGAGTTATTGTAATTGCATTTGTGGAACGATTTATCTCACAGAGCGTAACTCGCTCGACAACAAAAGTCGTAGCGACGAAGAGCTTGTGAACTACTGTTAGTACGTGATACGTACAGGTGAGGTCGGTAAACAAAACACATCAGTCTGCATTCCATGCGCCTCATATACGACCTTCTTGAAGTCGTCTGATCGTATGTCAGTGTTTTCCCGTGAGTTAATTAATGTCTTTGTATCATAAGCTTTATTTCTGAAGTACGTGTGATTACACATTTCCAAGTGAAGACTCTGTATTGGGTGTTGACATATCACGTCACGCACGTGTACTATTGTTTACCCGGTGTTACTATAATTTACACTACGGTAATGGAATGCCCGTTACACAATACGGAAATGACGACATGAAAATACGACAAGAAAAACATGTGTATTACGAAGGGTGGAAACTCCTTAATATCCATTATGTTCTCCAATGCTGTGTTGAAACCATTGAAGTCCGGATCAGCGAGATCACCTGGACAAACATATGACATGTTGAGCAGCTCTGTTGTATTTACACAACAGATTGATATGGTAAACGCTTACGACGTCCACCAAATTAACCTCATAGTTAACGTCACTGACTTTCCTTATCACTCTGTACGGTCCTTTCCATTATGCCACCATTTTTGAACTGTCAGACGGCAGTAATAACAGAACTTCGTCACCAGGTCTAAGCTCCCGTGTAGTGGTGTTCCTGTCGTACCACTGTTTTGTCTTCTGCCGTTTGATGGTCAGGTTTTCACGTACCGTATCTGTGATCGTTTTGAGCCTTTCTAGCATTTGAACAATATGATAATTACAGATTTCTTAACTTCGCCTTCTCCTGCCATGGCTTGCTCTAAAATCTGTAATGGTCCCCTTACTGGCCAACCATAAAGCATTTTGAATGGAGAGAATTCTGTCTCCTCATGTGGTACCTGTATATGCGAACAATGCATATGGCAAAAGTTCATCCCATGCCTCTTCATTTGATGTGCAGAGCTTTTTTAACTCAGCTTTGAGAGTTGCATTAAATCTCTCTACTTTCCTGTTAGCTTGTGGATGATCAAAAAATTGGTAGAGTTCCTGTAGCATTTTTGAGGTGAAGTTCATGCCTTGATCCGTAAGGATAATTCGAGGCACTCCAACCCTGCTGAATAGTTCTACCAGTGTGTCAGCAACAGTTTTGGCGTCTACATTTTTTTAACGCAAATGCCTCGGGGTATCTCGTTGCATCATCCATTATAGATAGTGGGAATAAATCTGTTTTCCTTCTTTGTACGGGACAATATTCCTACCACATCCATTGAGATTTTATGAAATGGCTCCCTGATGATTGGTGGTTGTCCCATGGGAGCTTTCTCATCACCCCGTCTCCTGGCTGTCTTCTAATATACATCACAGGTACTACAATACTTCTGTATGTCCCTAACGATGCCTGGCCAGTAGAAAGACGCTAGCACTCGCTCTTTGGTTTTCTCTGCTCCCAAATGACCAGGTAACGGCCTGTCATGTCCCAATTTAATGACATTGAGACGTAGTGCCTCCAGGTATAGCACTACCTGAATTCCATGATGAATTCTGTCACTGGACATCCATTTTCTACGGAGAATGTCATTCTCCCAGTACAGAGCACTACTGTCATCAAGTACTATCTCTGCTGATTGCGCAGCTTTTCTACGGATGTTGGCAAGAGTTGGGTCTTCCTGTTGAAGCTTACTTAACACTTCAGCATTCACTTCAGAAAGTGTTATTGGTTCGTTCTCAGTAGTGACGTTACAGGTATATCATCCTTGTCATGACCAGATACATTCTCACTACTATTGTCAGAGTCCACGCTCACATTATCATCCTTGTCACGACCAGATACATTCTCACTACTATAGTCGGTGTCTACGCTCATATTATCATTCTTGTCATGGCCAGATACATTCTCACTACTATTGTCGGTGCCCACGCTCACATTATCATCCTTGTCCTTACATGATACATTCTCACTACTATTGTCGGTGTCCACACTCACATTATCATCCTTGTCTTGACCAGATACATTCTCACTACTATAGTCGGTGTCTACGCTCATATTATCATTCTTGTCATGACCAGATAGATTCTCACTACTATTGTCAGTGTCCACGCTCACATTATCATCCTTGTCCTTACATGATACATTCTCACTACTATTGTCGGCGTCCACGCTCACATTATCATCCTTGACATGACCAGATACATTCTCACTACTTTTGTCAGTGTCCACGCTCACATTATCATCCTTCTCGTGACCAGATACATTCTCACTACTATTGTCAGTCTCCACACTCACATTATCATCCTTGTCTTGACCAGATACATTCTCACTACTATAATCGGTGTCCACGCTCATATTATCATTCTTGTCATGGCCAGATACATTCTCACTACTATTGTCGGCGTCCACGCTCACATTATCATCCTTGACATGACCAGATACATTCTCACTACTATTGGCGGTGTCCACGCTCACATTATCATCCTTGTCACGACCAGATACATTCTCACTACTATAATCGGTGTCCACGCTCATATTATCATTCTTGTCATGACCAGATAGATTCTCACTACTATTGTCAGTGTCCACGCTCACATTATCAGCCTTGTCATGACCAGATACATTCTCAGTACTATTGTCAGTGTCCACACTCACATTATCATCCTTGTCTTGACCAGATACATTCTCACTACTATTGTCGGTGCCCACGCTCACATTATCATCCTTGTCCTTACATGATACATTCTCACTACTATTGTCGGCGTCCACGCTCACATTATCATCCTTGTGATGACCAGATACATTCTCAATACTATTGTCGGTGTCCACTCTTACATTATCATCTTTGTCATGACGAGATACATTCTCACTACTATTGTCAGAGTCCACGCTCACATTATCATCCTTGACATGACCAGATACATTCTCACTACTATTGTCGGCGTCCACGCTCACATTATCATCCTTGTCCTTACATGATACATTCTCACTACTATTGTCGGTGCCCACGCTCACATTATCATCCTTGTCCTTACATGATACATTCTCACTACTATTGTCGGCGTCCACGCTCACATTATCATCCTTGTGATGACCAGATACATTCTCAATACTATTGTCGGTGTCCACTCTTACATTATCATCTTTGTCATGACGAGATACATTCTCACTACTATTGTCAGTCTCCACACTCACATTATCATCCTTGTCTTGACCAGATACATTCTCACTACTATCGTCAGTGTCCACAATCACATTATCATCCTTGTCATGACCAGATACATTCTCACTACTATAGTCGGTGTCCACGCTCATATTATCATTCTTGTCATGACCAGATACATTCTCACTACTATTGTCAGTGTCCACACTCACATTATCATCCTTGTCATGACCAGATACATTCTCACTACTATTGTCAGTGTCCACACTCACAGTATCATCATTGTCATGACCAGATACATTCTCACTACTATTGTCAGTGTCCACATTCACATTATCATCCTTGTCATGACCAGATACATTCTCACTACTATTGTCAGTGTCCACACTCACATTATCATCCTTGTCCTGGTCAACCACAGTTACCTGTCTAGTATCCACCTCGCTACCATACTCCACATGATTCTCCTCAATGTCCACATCAAGGTCCAATCCAACTTTCCTTTGCCTTGACCTCAGCTAATAGTCTCTCAGCAGCTGTGTTATTATTGTGTTGAGCACGCAATAACATTTACATACTTATCCGACCTGCACATGTCCCTTGTAATATGGTGTATCAATATAAGCTTGGCTGAGAAGGGTTGTTCGATCGCTGTACACAGAGTCTCCCGCTGACCCTCCAATACACAACTAGGGTCAACCATATCCTCCCAAATCAAAGTTATGGCTGAGCCAGTGTCTTTGACAAAACAGATATCACGGCCATTGACTTCCCCAGGAACATGGATAAGTCCTCCCGTGTACTGCCGCACGAAAAATCCTGCAATATTTTACCCATTTTTGTTTTTGGGGCATTTCCTAGCAAAATGTCCATACTTGTTACAGTTGTAACACTGCACATTTTTCATCTGTTCCGATGATTTTTCCTTTCGTCTCTTTCAGAGTTTGAAGTTTTCACATTAGAAGCTTTACCTTGTGTTGGCTTTGGTGAATTCCTCTCCGGTAGAATAAAATCCTCCGCGGCTTCAACAATACTACTTGACCCTTTGTTACGGCGTATCCATCGTGCTTGTGATGCTGGCAATGCGCTCAGAAAGTATTCTTCCTTAAATATTTCTGTGATATCCCTCACCAAATCAATAGATCTGACAAGATATTGTTCAATTCTTGCCATGAGTCCCCTGTATGTCTCCTGTGGTTCCTTTTGTACCGACTGCAGTTGTTTGAAATACTGTAGGGTCTTTTCCCTGGATACCTTCCAATCAGTTCCTTACTGAGTTCCTCCAAGGATCCATGAGCTTGTATGGCTGCCTCTCAGTGTAAGCAATGTTCTCAGATTTAACATTTTTAGGTCACCTGAGCTTTTTACATTTCAAACTTAAAGTCAAGTTCTGCTGGGCCGCTTGAACTGAAAGTTGGTAGGAATGATCTCCTCATGGTCCTGACAAAGTGTTGTTATTTTTCAGGTAGATCAGAAATCCAATATGGCGGCTATGGCCGCCATTTTGAAAAAAAACTATTTCAAACTTAAAGTAAAGTTCTGCTGGGCACATTGAACTGAAAGTTGGTAGGAATGATCTCCTCGTGGTCCTGACAAAGTGTTGTTATTTTTCGGGTTGTTCAGAAATCCAATATGGCCGCCAAGGCCGCCATTTTGAAAAACTATTTCAAACTTAAAGTCAAGTTCTGCTGGGCCAATTGAACTGAAACTTTGTAGGAATGATCGACTCATGGTCCTGACAAAGTGTTGTTATTTTTTAGGTCAATCAGAAATCCAATATGGCCGTCACGGCCGCCATTTTGAAAAACTATTTCAAACTTAAAGTCAAGTTCTGCTGGGCCAATTGAACTGAAACTTTGTAGGAATGATCGACCCATGGTCCTGACAAAGTGTTGTTATTTTTCAGGTCGATCAGAAATTCAATATGGCCACCACGGCCGCCATTTTGAAAATACCTATTTCAAACTTAAAGTCAAGTTCTGCTGGGCCGCTTGAACTGAAAGTTGGTAGGAATGATCTCCTCGTGGTCCTGACAAAGTGTTGTTATTTTTCAGGTCGATCAGAAATTCAATATGGCCACCACGGCCGCCATTTTGAAAATACCTATTTCAAACTTAAAGTCAAGTTCTGCTGGGCCGCTTGAACTGAAAGTTGGTAGGAATGATCTCCTCGTGGTCCTGACAAAGTGTTGTTATTTTTCAGGTAGATCAGAAATCCAATATGGCGGCTATGGCCGCCATTTTGAAAAAAAACTATTTCAAACTTAAAGTAAAGGTCTGCTGGGCACATTGAACTGAAAGTTGGTAGGAATGATCTCCTCGTGGTCCTGACAAAGTGTTGTTATTTTTCGGGTTGTTCAGAAATCCAATATGGCCGCCAAGGACGCCATTTTGAAAAACTATTTCAAACTTAAAGTCAAGTTCTGCTGGGCCGCTTGAACTGAAAGTTGGTAGGAATGATCTCCTCGTGGTCCTGACAAAGTGTTGTTATTTTTCGGGTTGTTCAGAAATCCAATATGGCCGCCAAGGCCGCCATTTTGAAAAACTATTTCAAACTTAAAGTCAAGTTCTGCTGGGCCGATTGAACTGAAAGTTGGTAGGAATGGTCAGCTCATGGTCCTGACAAAGTATTGTTATTTTTCAGGTCAATCAGAAATCCAATATGGCCACCACGGCCGCCATTTTGAAAATACCTATTTCAAACTTAAAGTCAAGTTCTGCTGGGCCGCTTGAACTGAAAGTTGGTAGGAATGATCTACTCATGGTCCTGACAAAGTGTTGTTAATTTTCGGATCAATCAGAAATACAATTTGGCTGCCATGGCCGCTATTTTGTAAATACCTATTTCAAACTTAAAAACAAGTTCTAATAGGCCAATCTCACTGAAAATCGGTTTAGGAATGATCAGCTCATGGTCCTGACAAAGTTAAGTTAACATTATACTTAACTATTTTTTACTCAAATTGGTACATATTTCAACAACAAAAATAAATACTGTAGGACTCAGGTGACCGTTAAGGCCCATGGGCCTCTTGTTACCTTATATGTTCACCCTGCTTGTGATGACAAGGCAGTAAACTCCGACAGAAATGTCACAATATCTTCGTTTGCTGTATGATTATATGGTTGTAATTTTAGTCTAAATGGCACAGAGTTTGAATTTGTGTCACTGAGTTCATTTTGAATCTTCGCCTTTTAAAGTTCTAACTCAAGTACAAGTACCTTAAGCTTTCTTTGATGGTCACGTTCTTTCTCTTCAGCCTCCATTTTCATCTTATCTCTCTCAAGTTCCACCGCCCTTTGACGTTCCCGTTCTTTCTCATCAGCTTCCATTTTCATCTTATCTCTCTCAAGTTCCACCGCCCTTTGACGTTCCCGTTCCTTCTCATCAGCTTTCATTTTCAACTTATCTCTCTCAAGTTCCACCGCCCTTTGACGTTTCCGTTCCTTCTCATCAGCTTCCATTTTCAACTTATCTCTCTCAAGTTCCACCGCCCTTTGACGTTCCCGTTCTTTCTCATCAGCTTCCATTTTCAACTTTTCCATTTGGAACCTTTCTCTGTCCATTTTAATATCTTCAATCGAGCGCTATTCTTTGATAATGGAGTCCTCCTCGATGGATGATCCCAAACCGCTGCCACCAAATATGTTACCCTCAATGTTGCCCTATCGATGAATAACCAACGAAACAACTCAATACAGTATAAATGTTGATTATTATAAGAGAAACACATAACATAGTATGGCCTGAGTATCTGAGCTCCTACTCCTTCCAAGGCCACACCAGGACTGATTCTATCTGGTCAGCATAATGATACTGTTATTGGTCCAGCCACATCCAGACACTTGCGTAACTCAAGTAACTCAATATGACTGATGTGGGGTGCCATGTTTTGGGAAGCACTCCTGACCTTAGGCGGTCAGATGTACACTGACCACATGTCTGACCTTGGGTGGTCGAACTCCCTATTTACACAGTGCTGGTCTATTAATCTCTTAAATTATTTTTAGTTTCGATATTCCCTCACATTTTTAGTTAGTTTCCAGCTAGCCTTTTTAGGTCACCTGAGACAAAGTCTCAAGTGACCTATTGCGATCGCTTTTTGTCCGTCGTCGTCCGTCGTCCATCGTCCATCTTGCGTCCGTAAACAATTTACATTTTCGACTTCTTCTCAAAAAACCCTGAACCAATTTCAGTGAAATTTTGCAGGAACCTTTCATGGATAAAGGTCAACAAAAATAGTGGCCAGTTTAGTCCCAAGCCCCCAGATGGAAGGGTCTTCAGATGCATTAACATAATTGTGAATTTCATGACCCTGGGGTCACATGTTTTCCCCTGGGGAGGGGGTAAACTTTACTATAATTTATATAGGGAAATCACATTTTGGACCAAAATTTGTTTAATTTCCATTGGAAGTAATTCAATTCAGGTTAGCATTATCAGTATTAGGTAGCAGTTTGATAGTATGCACATATCATCCCTGACTGACCTCTCGGTCCTGAAGGGTGGGGCCAAAAGGGGTCGAATTGACAGAAATTTCAAAAATCTTCTTCTTAAGACCAAGATATGGTAGAATCAATACTCTTCATAGATGGAAGGGTCTTAGGTGCTTTACAAAAATTGTGAATTTCATGACCCTGGGGTCTCACGTTTACCCCTGGGGAGGGGTAAACTTTACTATAGTTTATATAGGGAAATCACATTTTGGACCAACATTTGTTTAATTTCCAGTGGAAGTTATATAATTTGGGTTAGCATTATCAGTATTGGATAGCAGTTTGATGGTATGCACATATTACTCCTGACTGACCCCCTAGGGCTGATGGGTGGGGCCAAAAAGGATTAAATTGACTGAAATTTCAAAAATCTTCTTCTCAAGACCCAGATATGGTAGAATCAAACACTCTTCATAGATGGAAGGGTCTTTAGGTTTATGACCCTAGGGTCTCACGTTTACCCAAGGGGGGGGGGGGGGTTATGGTTTATAATGGCAAATGATACTTTGAATATTACATGTTAATAACTTGATTGGAATTATAACCTTGAGTTGACAGTTTGATACTTTGAAAGTACTGTAGGGTGGGGCCCAAAGGAGTCAGTGTGCTGAAATTTCTTCATTTTCCTTGTTTAGAATCAGAGGTGCTAGTTTCAAATACTTTTTAGTCTTAAATCTGTATGCTAGATATTGAATAGGGTGGTTTTATTGTTTTTAGCTCACCTTCCCGAAGGGCAAGTGAGCTTATGTCATGGTGCGGCGTCCATCGTCTGTCCGTCCTCGTCCATCAACTTTTCGTTTAAACAACTTCTTCTGAAGAACGGGCAGGCCTAGAGTCATGATATTTGACTGAAAGCTTTGTTGGTAGAAGCCCAACAATGACCTTGACCTACTTTCAAGGTCACGGGGTCAAATATGTCAAAAACTTCAAACAACTTCTTCTGAAGAACTAAAAATTATAGAATCTTCATATTTGACTGATGGATTCCTGGGATCGAGCCCAACAAAGTTTGATAATTATGAAAATGACCTTGACCTACTTTTAAGGTCACATGAGGCAGATATGTCAAACACTTAAAATGACTTCTTCTGAAGAACTAAAAGGTATATAATCTTTATATTTGGCTGGTGGCTTCCTGGGATAGAGCCCGACAAAGTTTGAGGAGGAAAATGACCTTGACCTACTTTCAAGGTCACAGGAGTCAAATGTGTCAAACACTTCAAACAACTTCTTCTGAAGAACTGAAAGGTATAGAATCTTTATATTTAGCTGGTGGCTTCCTGTCATTGAGCCCGATAAAGTTTGAAAACGAAAATGACCTTGACCTACTTTCAAGGTCACAGGAGTCAGATATGTCTAATGATTAAAACGACATCTTCTGAAGAACTGAAAGTAATACAACCTTAATATTTGGCTTGTAGCTTTCTGGGAAAGAGCCCAACAAAGTTTGATAATTATGAAAATGACCTTGACCTACTTTTAAGGTCACATGAGGCAGATATGTCAAACACTTAAAATGACTTCTGCTAAAGAACTGGAAGGTATAGAACCTTAATATTTGGCTGGTTATTTCCTGGGAAAGAGCCAAACAAAGTTTGCGAATGAAAATGACCTTGACCTACTTTCAAGGTCACACGGGTCAAATATGTCAAACGGTTCAAACTTAAGTTCTGGAAAATTAAAATTCATAAAATTATAATATTTGGCTGGTGACTTCCTGGGATAGAGCTCACCAAAGTTTGCTAATGAAAATAACTTCAACCTACTTTCAAGGTCATAGGAGTCAGATATGTCTAATGATTAAAACGACTTCTTTTGAAGACCTGAAAGTTATAGAACCTAAATATTTGGCTTGTAGCTTTCTGGGAAAGAGCCCAACAAAGTTTGAGAATGAAAATGACCTTGACCTACTTTTAAGGTCACATGAGGCAGATATGTCAAACACTTAAAATGACTTCTTCTGAAGAACTTGAAGGTATAGAACCTTAATATTTGGCTGGTAATTTTCTGGGAAGGAGCCCAACAAAGTTTGTGAATGAAAATGACCTTGACCTACTTTTAAGTTCACATGAGGCAGATATGTCTAACGCTTAGAACAACTTATTCTGAAGAACTGGAAGGTATAGAACCTTAATATTTGGCTGGTTATTTCCTGGGAAAGAGCCAAACAAAGATTGCGAATGGAAATGGCATTAACATTCAGGTGAGCGATACAGACCCTCTTGGGCCTCTTGTTTGTCACTTTGAATAATATTTCTGTTCATGTTAAAAACAAAATCAACTCTCTGTATAAATATATCAGGTGACTGTTAAGACCCATGGGCCTCTTGTTTAATTTCTTAATAAGGTGCTTATTATAAGAACATAAAAGGCTAGCTAGCAAGTAATTGGCCATATTCTAAATTTTCATCATACTCTGTTTTAGGAGATTACTGTTGCAGTGTTTCATAATCTGACTGAAAAGTTTAATGACGTGGAAAAGACTGATATCTTGGAGACGAGGTCTACATCGACGTAAGGCTCCATCCAGAACTTTTTTTTAGTTTCATTGGTCTTTTATTAAAATATCCAAAAGTGGCACTGCACTCTTAAGTAATGATATCACCAGTCTTCACGTCAATTCCTTGTTATTTATGGTAGGGTCTTTGTAGATCTTAGTGATTTCCATGGTATTACAGTTGTATAGGTGTGATGTGAATGCTGACTTCCTGCTTTGTTTGATACATTGACATTAAGTTATATTTATGAGAATATCAACTTATTGACAGTTTTACAATGGTGTTTGATAACAGGAATTTACTCACCTCTATGGGGAGTGTCCTAACACTTATACAGGACAGAGGAACAGACCTGAAGGAAATTAACACAACCAATACCGGGCCGATCACAGAGGCGGCAAAGGATGAAAAGTTGGAAAAGGTCAGTAGTACTGCTAGAATTCTTTCTCTTACTTGCTTCATAATTACTGCTGGTCACCAACTTTGGATAATACCAGAAAAAGTCTGAAAAAACTTCTCATATGTGAGCTTATGCCGTACTGCGGCGTCCGGCGTCTGTCTGTTGTCCGTCCGTCAATTTTTTCTTTTGAATGACTTCTTCTAAAGAACTGGAGGACCTAGGGTCATGATATTTGGCTAGTAGGTACCTGGGATCGAGTTCTATAACTTTTCCTCATTAAAATGACCTTGACCTACTTTCAAGGTCACTGGGGTCAAATATGTTAAAAAATCTAACAACAATATCCTAAGAACCATTTGGATTAGAGTCATGATACTTGGATATATTATGTAGACCAGCAGTGCAAATCTTTTTCTTAATTACAGTAATGAGGTCAAAGGTCAACTTTAAGTGCAAATCGGGGGTCAAAGGTCAACATGGGTTTAAGGCTTTAACAATCTTCTTCTCAAGTTCCATAAGGCCCAGGAGCTATAAACTTTCCTCACTTGACCTACTTTCAAGTTCATACGGGTCAAATATGTGAAACACTTCAAACAACACTATCCTAAGAACCATTTGTACTAGTCATGATACTTGGGTATGTTATGTAGACCAGCTGTGTGAATTGTTTTCTTTATTACAGTAATGACGTCAAAGGTCAACTTTAAGTGCAAGTCAAAGGTCAATGTGGGTTAAAAGATTCAAATTTCAAATTTCAAACAACAATATCTTCAGAACCATTTAAGAGATGTTAATATGTCTTGTGTTCTAGTTACCAAATTTAGTCTTATGTTATCTATATGTCAGTTTCATGTAACAAAAGAAACAGGTGAGCGATACAGGCCCTCTGGGCGTCTTGTTTTGTTTATTCTTCCAAACCCTTTGAATTAAATTTTGAGGAAATTTTAAGCCAAAAGCTTATATGCAATAGTGCAGCATCCGTCGTCTCTCAACTTATTCCTTTATAGCCTTAGAATCTGGACAACTTCGATTAAAATTTCTACCAAATATACTATGGTGCATCCTTGAGACTAGAGAATCAAACTTCAGGACCCAGTCGGGGGGAAAAAGACAAATATGACAGCTGCTGAAATATCGCTAGGCATTGTGAAATTTGACATTGTCATTGTAAA